TTAAAATATCGAAAAATATACAGCGCGCGAATTTTAAATGAGAATTTCCGAAAACTTTTCGGTCACAATGTATAATCTTAATAAATTTATAGAATAACTTTTATTAGCAAAAACTTGATTTGAATTTTAAAATATTGTTCAAAATGTTATTTATATATAATAATAAAATTATGATTATATGTGAAAACATTTTATTGTTTGTTGTTTATAAAATTTAGTTGCAGTGAGAGTTTCATTATGTTAATATTTTAACATTATTTAATTTAACGTATTATTTAATTTATATCTGTTATATTTACAACTTAATTAATAAAATAAATTATTTAATCTCTTAAAATACAAGGAATATTGATCTATTGTGAATATGCACAATAGTTCCACATTATCAGTGCAACCAACATATGAAAAAAAAATTTAATTCAAATTTGACAGTAACGAACGGGAAATAAAGGCACGCACTTTAAACCATATCAATACAAGTGTTATTAAATTAAGTATTTAGAATAAAGAAGTTATTTTCTGCACACATGGCACACAAAATGGATTATAAAAGTAACAAAGTATTACCAAAACCTGGTGATCCCAAACTACCTACGATAATGAGACATTTACAAATGGATTACGGGAGATATAAATTCACCGTTTATCGTTGTGCATCCAAATTTGTTGCGCTGCAAAAATTGCTTTTCAGTGTGTAATTTGAGAAAAATTTATCAGTAATTATTAGTAATTTTATTTTTTTCATAGCTGCAAATATACCTTATAAGTTAGTTTTAGCAGTTTTGGAAAGGCATGGCATACGTGAAGCCCACAGTAGTTTAATGGTGCCGCCATTTCAACTGACCTCACTCATACGTGATATATACTTTGCTTGTGAAAAATTAGGACATTTTACAAAATTTGCTACGTACAACTTGGAATCAGCAACATCTGTACTATCAAATTATTTTTGGGATATATTTGATCCGTAAGTAAATGTTAATAATTTTTATTAATGCAATCTAATGTTATGCATTTCAATATATATTTAGGAGACGAAGGCATTCAGTTTCTTTATTGGAAATAAAAATGACATTGCTTTTATTATGTAAATTTCACTTATCTGAACAGTTCATTGAAGAATTTTTTAATTTGGTCAAAGATGAGAAAACAAATTGCGTATCCATATTAAGTTTTGCTACATTACTTAATATTTTAATAAAAATATTTACTTATATTGGTGAAGGTAATGGATATGGAAATCACAACATCAAAAAGGTTTTGGATCAATGTTATGAAAGGGTGCGTGTACCTAAATTTCTTTAGAGGCAAATCGGTTAAATTGTATTTACTTATAGTGCCACAACTCAGCTGGTCTTACATTATATCAATTTCATTGCTTATGGACAAAGACGCAGACACGTTTTCTTATATACGCAAATTTAATTGCTTTAATTAAACGTATTGAGGATACGGAGAAATTAATACATAACAATATTTGTGCTTCATGTCATACCGAGAAAATTGTAGGTATCCGATTTAAATGCCAAATATGTAAGAATTTGTCTTTGTGTTTAAAATGTTTTGCAACTGGATACGCAACTAATAAACACGAAATAGGCCATCGTATGTTCGAGGTATTCAGTGAGGTTTGTAAAACTTTGAAAAATGAGATTCTATCGTATAATATCTCCATATTATATTATTTTAGGACTTACCACCAAAAAAATATTCGAATTTTTTTGCAAAATTATGTAATATGTTTTTTTCAAATAATAACGAAGAGAGTAAAGGTTTTTGTAATGATAATGAAATGGGCACTGAAATGGCAACGTTACCAATGAATCACCATACATATAATATGCCACAATCAGCTCCAGGAGCAGAGAAGTTGGCTGATTCAAAAAAGGAGTTACCGCAAAAAGTACAAGATGAAAATAAATTAGATGAAATCAATAAATTAGAGCGTATGTATGAAAATGATTTAAATATTTTAGAAAACTAATCATTTTAAATCTTTACAGCATCCATAGCTGGCTTAACAACAGTGGCAATTAGCACATCCGAAAGATTGCAAACATTGATTAATAAATTAGACGAACAAAATATGTAAGTTTTATTTGCATTTTTACGATTTACGAATAGGTTTTACGAATAGGTCTCAAACCTAGAAAATTATTTCAGGGATTTTTATAATTTATTGTTTAAATGACCAAAATTGTATTAATAATTTTGAAAAACTTAGCATTTAAAAAATTATTTATTTATATCAATATTTCGACTATATTCTATAGTCATCAGGAGTTTCAAAAATATTAAAATACAACTATATGTATTTTTTTAAGCGATAAAAATTATATAAATTTTATAGAACTTTATTAAATTATTATTGTCTTTTATTTCAGCAAATTGGAATTACAATTAAAATCTGTTAAAACAGCGACAAATGAAGAAATTTCCGAATTTCTAAATGCACATCACATATTTTTAGTTGATATAATAAATGAAATGAGAAATTTTTCGGTAAGCAATATTTGTCAATTTGTATTAAAATTTAACATTTCATTATTTCTATTTTTAAATAGAACGCTGATATTTCGAACGCATTTCCAAGTTCTAGTACACCAAATCGTTCAATTAACAGTTTTGTCAATAAAGCAACTGCATTGGATGATGCTGACAATCTAACTCATTCAAGTAAGATATATTCTTATAATCCAAATACTGCAATAAATATTTAAACTTTTAACTATATATATAGTAAATGGTGCAGATCTAAATCGCAGTTACTTAGATGCTAATAAGTCGGATTACTCTCTTAAAGATTTAAGTTTATGGTTTAACCAAAGAAGAACATCTTTAACTACACATACAGCATATCCAGCATTAAGTATTTTACCTGACGCAAATACTGACGATATACGAGACACAGAAATGAACAACTTTAAGCAGCTGCTTAGTAAAGTAAAGGAAATAGTTGACGATTCATATAGCGATAATACAGAATTAGCAGCAGCAACTCAAAATTTGGAAAATGTTTTAGACAGTATTATTAAAGGTGAAGAAAGTCGTAGGTGCAGCACTTAAATGTATCTACTCTTATTAGGAAATTATATAGTAGTAAGTAATTTTATATTGTAAATGTTTTAATGTTTAAACATATATTAAAGTAAAAAAAAATTCTATATAATATTTATATACAATAAATTTTATTTATATTTCATATATTAATGCATGCAAGAATTGTACTGACTAAGTTTAGTGTGTACATATAAAATAATATAATTATTAAACATTTAGATACATAGAATTGAAAAGTTATATTTCTATAAATAGGCGAATTAACTACAAAGTTGTGACGTTTAAGTTAATATTTGTAAAATAGTAAGGAAATTAAGTTACTTTTATTAATTAATTACCACTATTGCTTATTTGTATGGCCAGAAATAAATATTTTATATATATGCTCGCTTAATGGTGCAGTTGACTATAGATGACTTTATAGTCGAAATATAAATCAATTATATTAACAATAATTATAAGTATTTTACTAAACTAACCCATCAGCTTGTATATACATGAAATTAAATACATTTAGTAATTGTATTTATTAAAGAAAACAAAATAACATCTTATAATAAATAAATCGTGATAACATTCATATCAAGGAATTCTGTTTTTATATTGTGTTCACAATGAAATTTACAGTAAATTTATTATATATTCCATCACTGTTTTATTTAATTAATAAAATCTTAGCTAATATATGACTGGCTTCATTTCAATGGAATAAGCATTAAACAATGTAATAAGCATTAAACAATGTAATAAGCATTAAACAATGTAATAAACATTATGTGAATGCGAATATCTTTTTTCCTGAGTATTATTCAGCTCTTTTAGACTCTTTTAGAATACCTTCAATATGAAGTAAAATTAAGCACTATTATACTTAGATGATGAAAACTTTGTTATTATGAATTTGAATAAATCCAATCCCGAGTTATATTTAGCACTATTAGACTTCGAAAATAGTTACTCTGTTGTAAATAGGAATGTCTCCAATTAGAAGTTTAATTCAGCATTATTAGACTTCAATCATAGTTTGTCAATAATCTCGTTTAAATTTAAAAATCTTACACAGCTTGCAAATCTTGTGCCAAGAGATCTGTTTCCAGTTGTAGTTTTGTAAGGTGTGCGACAAAATTTTCGGTTTCAGTTTCATTTTTGTTCGATATGAAATCATTCACTGCTTTGAGTTCCTTTCGTATGGCATGCTCAAAATTCTTAACATTTACAGCGCTTTGTTTAATTGATATTTCTTCTATAGCCTGAATATTACAATTTGTAAAATCTATTTCATTAAATAAAGTTTTGAAAAACAGTAATGATTTTTCTGAATTTTGCAAATAAAATTTCCATTGAATTTTTAAATTTTCTTCATCCTTCTCACATTCTGCAGCTACTTTTAGTATCAATAATCCATACCATAGTGAATGACGAGTTTTATTATAAAATAATTTATGTGGAAATCTCATCTCAACTGATACATCTTTTTCATCTACTTCCATGGCAAAATTTTGTGTGTCTTGCTCAATTGGTATTTCAGATGTTCCTGCTCTTTTAATCACCTCTACTTGGAATATTTTACTAAGCAAACGTTCAAATATGTCTACGTCGCTCTTTTCATTAAAGTCAAATAGTAATTTTGTCTCAAAGCTGGTAAAGGCAGTTGCTAAGAAATCTTGATGCATTGTTTTTGACTTGAATAATATTTCACATTCTGGTCTTTTTCTCAACAAATCATTTATATTTATATCTGTAATGAACATTTGTTGCTCACAAACTTGTGGGTCGGAAGGTAGATCATTGTAGAACTGTAGGTCTTTTTCGATTTCAAATAAAATGAAGAGTCCGACATTTTCCAAAGTTATAAGTTGTGATATATTTAATTTAATTAGCAGCACACCAAATGTTTCTGGTGAAAGTTGTTGTTGTTCATTTGGCGTCCAAATGTTTGCTTCCACGTTATCATCTTCACTTTGAAAAAAGGCCTCAAGTGTTTCAATATCATCGAAATTTCGTTTTAATTCATACAAGCAATAATAAAACTCGATAGAGCTACTTTTTGCATGTGTGTTGAGAATGGGTCTAATGTTCTTTAAAATAGTTAAAGTAGAGGTGTTGCAAGTATTTAATAATGATATACCAATCACGCACTCATCTGTCAAAGTGAATCGAAACCACACATCCCCACAACGAGTTATCATTTGTTTGTCGTCTAAGTGAAACATTATTAGAAAATTACTTCCAAAACGTTTATCTTTGAGTAAATCAACGAATTGCTCATTGGTACGTCTTTTAAGAATATGAAGCTCTTGCTGCTTATCATTTATGGAATTTAAAATATCCTTAAATTCATTTTTCAACGTATTACTCTCGTCATTTTTTTCTGCAATATCTTTAACTGTTTCTTGAAAATCACTTAATATAGTTTCGCCATTAGTGAATGTGATTTTTACAACTTCTTGGTATAATACATTGCTGCGCGCTAGACTGTATGATTTGACGTTTTCATATTCAGCAATAAATCGAAATCCCTTTGAATCCAAATTTTTTTCTAATACAATAAATTTATCCCAACATTTTATGATAATATAAACCTTAAATAAATTAAAATTGTTGAAAATATATTTTCCAAATGTTATAAAGCACTCATCTTTATGTGGTTCACATACGATTTCCTCAGTGTCGCTATCACTTGTATCAGATTTATTTTCAGATTTTTGTATTGTAAAGGTATACTTTTGTTTTGGTCCTTCATACGTTTTTATTTGATTTTCAATCTTTGATAAACAAGTTCTACTCAAATCAATTGTTTGTATTAATTGTTTTTGTTGATATTCATAAAACCTCAAATTCCGTGTTAATATCAAACAAGACTTTTGTGCATTAATTATTATTTTATCTAAATATACAACTTGTTCGTTTAAAAAAAAAGGTACTTCATTTTGTAGAAAAAAATCCATATTGCAAAATTAAATATATACGGATAGTAAAAAAATAAACAAACGTTTTATTTTGCAACAAAAATTGGCGCCAAAATTAAATTCTATTCACAATTATAATAAAAAATAATGCAAATATGCAGAACAAAAGAGAAGAGAAAAAAATGTATTTATATTGTTTTTTGTCGTCATTCAATAGAAATATTCGAATAAAATTTTACTGTTAAATTTTACTGTTACTGTTAAGGGTTATATATTATAAAGTAAAGAATTTCTATTCGTTACTCATAAATTTGCAATATTTTGATGATTTTTTTTGCAAGTAAAAGTGTAACGTTCACAATAGTGTTACATGCCATATGGGAGAATAGAGCAAATAACAATTGATGGGTAAGAAAACAAATATTTATACTAGTAATAATTTCTTTCTTTTTTTATTGGTATGTATATATTGGACATAATAGTAATTAAAACTATTTTCATTTATTGACGGTATTAAGCTAATATTTAACAGTAAAACATGGTAAAATAGAAAACGATAATATTAAACGAAACTCTTTATGAAGAAATTGTATAATTACTAATATATATAACACTGATTTTGTCTAATCTTATAGTTCTGTCTTATTAATGTATAAATATTTTTAAATTCGTGCAATTTTAAGAAATTTTTTTTGTTAATAATATATTAATATGCAACATCATAAAACTCTAGTGATGTCTTTTACAGAATGACTCACACGTAACATTTTATTGAAAAGAATATTTATTGCATGTGCACTCATTTCTCATTTGCTGCAAAAAAAACCCTTCGATTTATATTCCAATAATTTAACAAGTTCTGGAATATAGAATAAACAAACTAAGAAAATAAGAGAGGTTGATTTTCTCCACATAATCATTTAAACTAAATAAACTATATGTTGAAATTGTTTTCTGAAAATTAATTCCGAAACTATCTAAATATATGGTGGTTGTTTTAATACTAACATAAAACTATAACCTTTACGCATTACTGACTAAAAGATTTATTAACACATGTCATGCATTTTTAATTTATAATACATAAATATAGTTTTCTATTAAATCGTGTTGTAAGCTTTAATTTTAATTTAAATAAATTAGATATTTCAATAAAATTTTATTAGTTATTCTTTTTTGAATTTACAAGCTAAATTTTTTATATTTTTATTAATAGTATATAATATTTAAACTTTAAATTCTTAAACTTAAATATTCTAAATTATCTTTGAAATAATTTAAATTGAACGACTTTGTCATTGACAGTATGAACGATATGTCATTGATAGAATTTCAATATATATAATCGAAAAGTAAATTTGCCTGTCTAATACAATATTCTTTGATTGCATTTTGTTCTTACCTGTGTTTTTATTCTATAAGAAAGAAAATAAAAAAAATGATGGTAGAAGTGTAATCACGGCGTCTGAATATGTAAAAAAAAAGACATCGTTGTAATATATAAGAAAGTAAATTGGTTTAAGTCAAATACCATCACTTAAATCGTGTAAAAGAAATTTTTGGTGTAATAATAGAACATAGAAAATTACATGTGTATAATATATTTTTGGAATAAAAAACATTTTAATAAGCAACGTTGTAACGAAGTACATATGAAATTATTAAGTAAATCGGTAATAAAATTGTTTGTGACCTTAAAAGGAATTGAAATAGAATAATTGTTACAAGGATATTTCCAACAAACATCATTGACAACATAAAACAATATATTTTCGGGATAATTTTCAAATTGAGTTTTTTTTCTCACAAAAGTGAACGAAAAGTACTTCGATTAAAATCAATAAAAAGAAATTATATTTTCTATTTTGAGAAATAATATTTCTAACATATATACACAAAAATTGTTGTTAAATTAATTTGCACAAGCTACATCCTGCCATTAAATTTGTTTTGACATTTTGTGAATTGTCAGCTCCTATCCCAAGGAATTTCCAAATAACAGAAACATATTGACATGGTAAGTTGTGCTTATTTATGATTAAGCTTAGACATAGCTCTGCATGCGAGTCTTTTGATTGTAATTGTAATAATTGTATATCCGATTTTTGCCCTATGATTGCTCTATGATATTCCAAATATTTAAAAATTTCATTTCGAATTGATATAATTTTTCATTAGCGACACTAGCGAGTAAATGTGTAAAATTCTGCTTCCATAATTTAGTAATGAGTTACGCTTTAATATGAAAAATGTTTATTGTAAATAAATATATATAATACTACAAACTTTTTATTTATTTCTCTTATCTACACTTTTCAAATTAAATTATTACTTCATACTACAAAACTACAAATTATTTGATGCCTTCCATTCAATGCTTCCGGTTGGTTTTCTATATATACTTATAACTATATACATCGATAGATATCTCTGGTCGTATGCATCACATATATGGTTAAAGATTACTTTACGGGTAACAGTAACTCATATTGTATTTATAAGTTTTATAAGGGTTATATATAAGGGCATATAATTTTTATTTATAAGTAACCAAGATTTTGGCAATGACTACAAAAGTTCTTTGAACCTAAATACAGTTCATAACCAGAGCTCTCCAGATCAGATAAGAACGCGGGCCAATACAAATTATTGAATAGGTTGGAGGACCGCATGAAATAAATACATACGTTCATAATTTTTCTGGAGAAAAATGAAAATACGGTGATAATGTTAAATTTAGTTTTATTAATTTTTCATAACCTTTACATTAATCTTTTATAATTCTATCAATATCAGCATTATGTATATACGAAAAATAATTTATTTTTAATATAATGACTAACGGAACTGGATACAAGTTGTTTGAACCAGTTTTACGAAGAAATATATATTATAGTCTGAAAATTAAGTAAATTAACATAAAGTGTAATGAATTATTTAAAACATCTTAATTCAGGATATCATAAAAATAAAATAGTGTAATGTTACTAACATATAATAAAGAAAAATTTGCCTTATAGTGGTAGATTAGAAACATCTCGCGAGTCGCACAAATATTAGCCGCGCGACGCATGAGACCCATGTGCTGTGCTTTGGACAGTCCTGGTTTATAACCACGCAGTTTTGGAATATCAACTTTCAAGTATTTCCTCTTATTTGTTATGACATCTTTATATGAATAAATTGAGAAACTTGATTGACATGTAAGATATATCACTCTTATAGTGTGCTTGTTAATGTCTCGTTGTAGATTAGGAAAACACGTTAGGAGTTTGAATCTTTCCCTCAAGAATTCAATTGTCCTCCTTCTAAAAGTTAAAGCAGGTGCACCAGGGCGTTTGCTGCCTTGGGTTCCACGTGAAAGCTTGTCGAGTAATGTATTTATTTGGTCGTCTTAAAGTATGTCCCATCCGATGTTTGTATCTTCCTTTCTACCTATTTTGAATGCTTCCATGTTTCACAGCCATAATAAAGGACTGCTTTTATTTTTGAATTTAAAATTGCCGTGATTTCCATATATTCTGCAATTGTCCAAACATTGCTTGAGCCTTCTTTATGTGTGTTGCAACGTCCTCGTCCTCGCCCACTCTGCTTTTGTTTGTCACTACACTTCTCAAAAACGTAAAAGAAATTACTTATTCTATCTCCTCACGGCTTGCTTGCAACGAGGGTCTTGTCCCACGCGAAAACCACCATGCATACCTACATAGGTATGCTATACCTATATAGGTCTTGCTTACATTTATTTCAAGTTTTGAACTTTGTTCAGCATTGCTTACCCGCTCAAATTTATTTTGTAGTTCCCATGTTTACTTTGTTCAGAATTTCATTTAGAGTTATAATGAATAGAATAGGTGATAGAATACATCCTTGTCGAACTCCAGTTTCAATTCGAAAAGTCTAAAAAAGTACGTTTTGCGTACGAACCTGCATATTATATTGTTGTATAGTTGTTTGATGAAATTTATGATTTTTGTAGGTATATCCCTTTTCCGTAACTCATACCAGATAAATTTCCACTTGAGACTTTCAAAGACTCTTTTGAAGTTTAAGAAAACTGCATATATGGGTACTCGAAACTTATTACATTGTTCAAAGATGTTTCTGAGGGTATAGCACGATAGACAATAATCTCAGTAGTGTTGTCGTTATGTCAGCGTTAACTCCAAATATTTCACTAAAATATAAAAAACACAATATAGCATGAGCAAAGGAGTCAAATATATTTATTATTTAATTTCATTCAATTTGCCGTGTATTTTTATTATTATTATTGAGTAAGGGATCGTGCACTGCGACCTAAAAGATCTATTGTGCCCCTTTGTCGGGTTAGAGTATTTCTCCAAGTCCGATTTCTTTAATGAAAGACAGTATGGATCCTATCTTCTCCAGTCTTGAATCCTTATGATCCATGAAATACCCTCCTAGGTGTTTCTTTCGTTTATGCATCAGTGCCGGGCACTCCCCAAGCACATGGTATGCCGTTTCTCTCTCTTCCCTGCAGTATCTGCAGTCTGAGTTGGATTGAATTCCTAACTTCGATAGGTGATTATTCAATCTGCAGTGACCGGTCAGTAAACCCGTAATAATTCTTATGTTAGTCTTTGATTGCACTATGCAATCTTTAAAGCGTTTTAGGTTGTAAGTCCCTAAAAGCATTTTAGATTGTGAGAGTCTTGGTAGCATTAACCAATAGAGTTCTCTCTCTTTTTTCTCTGCGTCATTCATGATAATGGATATAGCTCCTTTGCCTAGACCACAGAATGGTTCTGGGCCTATCATTCTTGATGCCGCGCCTCTTCTTGCAAGTTTGTCTGCTATTTCATTACCTTGGATACCAGTATGTCCCGGAATCCATAAAAGGTGCACCTGATTGATCCCACCGAGTGTGTTCAGCTTGTCAATGCATTCCCATACCAGTTTTGGTTGTTACCTGGTAAGATATGAGTGCCATTATAGCTGCCTGGCTGTCAGTCAGTATTGCAATTTTACGGTTCCGGTAGTTACGTTCAATATTGAAACTGGCGCATCTATCTATCGCGTATATTTCCGCTTGAAAGATGGTTGTATTGTTTCCTAATGCTTCCCAGTATTTTTTGCCTGGTCCATAAACACCAGCTCCAGCTCCCTCATTGGTGAGAGAGCCGTCTGTATACCATGTTATCATGGTTTCTTTTATTTTTGGGATGTTAGACAAACCTCCCCAGTTCTTTTTGTTGCCAAGTTCAGTTTTGAAGTTTTTTGTAAAGTTATGCTTTACAATCATCCTGTCCATTGGCATTTCAATTTCTGGGATTTGTGCAGCCAAAGTATCAAGTTTTTTGCTATTGGTTTCAAGACCAGTCACCTTATTTGTATTTACTCTTAGAGCAGCCCTCTTCGCCTGTGATTGCACATAGATATGAAGAGGAGTAAGTTCCAGGAGTACTTCAATTGATGACGTGGGACATGTTCTCATTGCTCCTGTTATGCTTACACATGCAAGTCGTTGTACCTTGTTGAGTGTGTTGATAACGCTTTGTTGATTTGTGCAGTTCTGCCAGACTATTGATCCGTAGGTGATCATTGGTCTGATTACTGCTGTGTATATCCATCGCAGTGACTTTGGTGTACATCCCCAATTCTTACCTGCGATGGATCTACATGTCATAAAGGCTTTGGTTGCCTTTTTTGTCACTTCTTGGATATGAGATTTCCATGTTAATTTTTGGTCTAAAATTATACCCAAAAATTTAACTCCTTTTGTAGTTTTATTTCAAACCCATCTAAGCGGATGGGTTTAAGGTTTTTTATTTTGTATTTCTTAGTGAATAGCACAATGGTTGTTTTTGCTGGATTTATTTTCAGCCCAACCGAATTGCACCATTCTTTAGTTAGTTTTAAGCCTAACTGGATTCTTTCGCACAGAGTACTCTCATATTTTCCTCTGCAGATAATTACCACATCATCGGCGTACCCCTGGATTTGGAAGCCATTCCTGTCCAGTTTTACCAATAGTTCATCCACTACCATACTCCACATAAGGGGTGATAATACTCCACCTTGTGGGCACCCTCGCGAAGTATTTGCAAAAATATTACCATTGCTGGTCGGAATTTCTACTCTCCTGGTGCGAAGCATATTGCTCATCCAGCGTGAGAGTGTGCCATTGATTCCTCTTTTAGAAATAGTTGAGTTTATAACCTCATGTGAAGTGTTATCAAAGGCTCCTTCAATGTCTAGGAAAGCGCAAATTGCTATCTCTTTCTTATCTATGCTGTCCTGAATCGTGTTACTTAGTTGATGCAGGGCTGTTTCTGTCGACTGCCCTGCCCTATAGGCATGTTGGCGACTGTATAGTGGAGTTACTTTCAGTGTAGTATTCCTGATATAGTTATCCACAACTTTTTCTACTACTTTAAGTAGGAAGGATGTGAGGCAGATTGGTCTGAAGGATTTCGGGTGAGTAGGATCTCTTTTGCCCGCCTTCGGAATAAAGACCACTTTTGCCCTTCTCCACATGTTTGGTATGTATCCCAATGCAATACTGACTCTGGCTATTCTAGTTATTGGACCTAGTAGCTGTTCAATTCCTTTTTGAAGTAATGCCGGAAAGACACCATCAATACCTGGAGATTTCAGTGGCTTGAGCGAATTTACCGCCCACCTGATTTTAGGCATTGTGATTATATTTTTGGCAAATTTCCAATCATCCTTCCTTACTGTTTTAGGGGGTTCAGTGTGTTCTGATTCCGTCCCTAGAGTTGGAGAGGATCCTGGGAAGTGTACGTCCAGAAGTAGTTGTATCTTCTCTTCTTCACCTTCGGTGAAACTTCCATCTTCTCGCTTGAGATTTGTGGAGGTGAGGCTGCTGCTTTTTGCAAGTACCTTGTAGAGTCTTGATACCTCCGTAGTGTTTTCTATGCTTTCGCAGAATTTTTGAAAGCTTCTGCGTTTAGAGGCCCTAATTTCTCTATTGTACAAAGTAAGTTTTTTCCTATATTCTGACCAGTCTCCTGTTCGCTTTGAGTAGTTAAA